AAAATTGATATTTCACAAAGGAAACTGCTGAATGTTTAAGCTCCGGGTTATGTTTTACTCATACCTTAGTTCAAAATCCATTTTCCAAACACCAGCACAGTCAGAATCAGTTTAGCACTCCATGGATTTATTAGTGTGGTCAAACTTAAAACCTTTTGAATTCATCATGTGCCTTCTTACGCATCAAATCCACCTGCCTTAGATCTTATTTTGGAACCAGTTGATACTAAAAATGTCACTACTTGCTAGATATTTCCAGTAAATCTGTTAAAGAAATTTTTTTGCAAAGAGTCAAAGTGACCGAGTAGGACTTGTTGTCATCACATTGTGTAAGTCAGCATCCAAGGACAGTCAATTTGATGGGTAACCCATCAATTTCCAAGACTATATGTCCTGTTAAAACTACATTCTTCTCCAAACTGTGGTGGTTTGAAACCATCTCACTCTAGCAGTAAATCTTTGAGATGAGATGTGCTCAGACACTCCTACACAAAGGCTCAGCATGAGATGCAGTCTGGGATCTGCGCCAGTCTCACCCTGTGGTTCACCTTGGTGAGATCTCTGTTAGCTGTTTGTGTTCGAGCGCGCAGTGCCGCTCTGTGGTGTTACATCTGTTACATCCATTTTTGCTAGATTAACTCCTCTTCAGTATGCAGTATACATAAAATCGAAGTGGAAGACAGTATCACAACTTTCTTGAAACAGAACGGAGATCAAACATCTCTCACAATCATCCCAAAACAGCAGATTATTTAAGCCTGAGTGTGGCCTACTTTTTATTGCATACCACACTGGGCCTTTATTCTTGAGATTTTATGCTTCTCAAACTGACAGTGAATGACTGTATGCATGTCATTTTCAATTCAGTTCAATTCAATTTCAATTCATTTTTTAAAGATGGCACCAAATCACAACAACAGTTGCCTCAAGGCGCTTTTTGTCATGTAAATGAGATGGTTTAGGCATGAAATTATTAAAATAACCAACTCTAGGGACAGCTGTTGAACGGAGCGGGAATCCATCCATTTTCTTCCACATGTCCAGTCGAGGGTCATGGTTGGGATATAACCTATCCCAGTTGTTGAGGGCAAGAGGCAAGGTTGCACACTGATGCCCCATTTAACGTCACCTTTTTTAAATTGCTTTATTTTTAACATGCATGTCTTTGGACTATGGGTGGAAGCTGGAGTACTTGGGAGAACACGCAAACTCCAGAGTAAAAAGCTTCCACCAGCTGGTGGATTCAAACCCAAGACCGTCCTGCACTGATGCGATGCTGCTAGACTCCAACACTGGAATCTAAACCATTTTTTAAAAATATCTGGCTCCAACTGCATTGATTTGTTTCCAGTATTTTACTTTAAAAACATAAAAAATCATGGTAACTACACCTTGATGGCCCGGAACGTTTTAGAAAATGCATGTAATGGCCCCACTGGCAGCCTTTCATGTAGAACGAGTTGTGGCTTTCATCTGTAATAATCCCAAATAAAGCTGGAGCTCATGCATGAAAATCCAGGCTCAGCATAATCATTCACGACTCAGGCCGCTTCAACCGCTTCATAAGGAGAGAGACACGGGGACCAGGAAACGGCGTAAATCAACTCTAGCATGCAAAGCTGACCGTTGTCTTCACATGCACTGTTAGGTGGCAGTTTCACTCGCTTGAAAGAAACAGAAATACATTTTCTGACAGTGATAGATGAGAAAGCGGATGCTATTCTCGAAGCAACCTGTTAGCACAAGCAGACGAATCAGCAGTCTGCCCCTTTTGGAAAGAAATTTTTACACCTCGTGAATGAACTAAATCAATCCAACATGTTAGATGAAGTAATGAGGTGAGAAGGCCTAATTTTCTCCACTTTCTCCCAACTGTTTTTTTAAGTATTTATTTTTTAATTTAATTAAGGCTTGATATGAGTAGGGTTGTATCAGAACAAAGAGTTCTGATATTGTCTTGAGTCAAGAACCAAACCCCTCCAACACACTTACCACTGGTGTTTAAATAAGAGCATTAGTGATGTAAACACCATCCTACCTCCATCTGGTTCACTGTGTTTGGGAGACAGGCTTTATAGGGAAAATATAAGATGCTACTGGTAATGATTTTCCTTTAAAGGCAGCAAATTAGACAGTGAGAAAGTAATTTAGTGCATTTAGTGCATCCATCTCTTGATGGACTACTTCTTTCCTTTACATCTTTCGAGAACACTGTTAAATGGGGCAAAGGCTAAGTATTAAGATAATCTAAGCTATAGTAGACACTGTGGTCTTTTTTATTATTTCAGAGGGTGTTACAGGAGGTAATCTGTTCTGCTAATACCACTGCTGAAAACAAATAAAATCCAAGGCACGTGGGAAAGCTTTAAATCTCTGATATTGCATTTGTTATATATCGAAACCATGAGACAAGCTCTTTTTCATTGTGCATTCATTTCCCTTGGACTAAACATGACTAAACAAATTTCATGCACTTATACAGTAATATGTAAAAGTCTTTGACCAACCCACATCTGTAACCTGGCTAGATGGATAGATGGAAATACAGTATAGTAGGAAAGAGCAGAGTTTGTACAATTCTAATGAGCATGAAAATCAATATTTGGTGTGACTCTTAGTCTTCAACACAGACTGAACTCTCTTATGCAAACATTTCTTTTAAGGAGTCTTCAGGAATAGTTCTCCAGGCATCTTGAATGACATTCAAAACTCTTCTTTGGTTGTTGGCTGCTATTTGTTCCATTCTTTCTAAAAATGATCCCACACTGCTTCAATAATGTTGGACTCCGGGTTCTGGGGAGGCCAATCCATGAAGGAGAGTAATCCATTGTGTGTTTTTCTATCCAGGTATGCTTTTACTGTATCTGCAGTGTTTTTTTGGGATCATCATGCTCACAAATGAAGCTGCTGCCAATCAAACGCTTTCCAGAGGGTAATGCATAGTAGATCAAAATCTGGTGGTGCATTCAGAATTCCAGCAGTTTTAACAAGACCTCCAGCATCACTACCTGAAATGCAGCCCAAGACCTGCCTGTAGACACTCACTGTTGTACCTCTATCCTGACCTCCTCCATACATATTGATAACAACTGCTCAAACCAACTGAACCGAAAATTTTAATTTTGGATTAATCATTCCAGAAGACCTGTTTGGCACACAACGGCCTTTTCTTCATGTTTCCCTTCCTTAAGAGTAGCTTCTTGACAGCCACCCTTCCACTGAGACTATTTCTTATGGACAGTAGATGCGAAGGGCTAAGGGCCAGATTCATCTCTTAGGTTTTGTGTCAGATCTTTGCTAGATTTGTTTTCCTATTTCTTAAGGACATGACTTTCAGAGACTGTTCATCAGCTGCTGATAATTTTTAGACCTAAGACTTCTTTTGTCCTTCACTTGTCCAGTGTCCTAATTTTTTAAGAACACACTCCACACAATGCAGAGACATGCCAAGTTTTAGCTCTTTGGGAATCACCTTGTGGGCAAGGTACAAGGAGTTGGACAAAAAACACGTGAAAAAATCCAATGTCTAAAGAAAAACATCTGCACAGTACTGTACTATAGATGCAAACCCGAAGTCAGTGTCTTGTAAAGAAAAGGTTGCCTTCAATTATAGTCAATTATAACTGTGATTCCAGCATAAAAAAGGGGTCATAGCAAGACGCACATAATCATGTCAATGGGCGCTCACAGTGATCTACATGAGTTATAATTTAGTGTTCATCCGCGAAAACAAAGCATGTTTTTGTTTCAGACTGACAAGGGCAACTCACATGATTACTATTAGAGCAAAAGGCAAAGCTCCAGAGACTAAGCTCAGAAAGGAGTGTAATTTGACAATCATTACACCGAATAAACCATTATGTCCATGATATTCTACAAACACAAATGAGCATACAGCGCTCAGTCTCTATAATATTAAGGCATCACTTTGAAAACAACAACAACAAAACTTACAAGGTAGAAACAAATTTACTAACTGTGATTGTCACTGAAAATGTCCTAAAGAGGTCTGAATGTGGTGAAAATATATATATAAACATTTAATCTGTGCGTGATAAAGTATGGCAGAAAGTAGATGGTAATACTTAAGGTAATCAGTACTAATATGGTTTAAAAAACAACAGAAGCATGCCTAACACTGCTTTTGCACTGATTCAAAAACTGCATGTACTCTGTTTCAAGTCGTGGAAGGCTAAAAGTATGAAATCTGCTCCAGGGCTGAGTTTAGTGGCAAAAACACCACACTTACTAAAACTCTTCCTCATCTCTTAAATCTCTCTCTTTGATTTCAGTGAGCATAAAAATGGGTGTGATGTGGTTTTATCTCTGAAAACAGAAAAGATCTGATCATTATCTAATCACTGCGGCTGGCCGGCTGCACTCAAGAGAAGTAAGTATATAAAGGGTCTTTTGTATTCAGGATTTTTTTCTTCTTCCGTCGTTACCACTAGCAGAGCGAGAATCGGCGAGAGTTAATGTTCATCTTGGTGACTCCGATCAGTCTCAGCGGGGCAGAGAGGCCGAGGCCCGGGGTGACCGGGCATTCACACAACAGGTCCGACAGCTCATCCCGTTCCTCGAGGCCAAAGGTGGCGTCGTTGAGCATTCGGCGATGCAGATGGCACGTCTGTTCAATCTTCAGCTTGTTGATGTCACTCCGAAGCCGCATGAGCTGCCTCGCCAGCTGCTGGTCCTGCAAGCGCATATCTGTCTGCAAAAGAGAAGACAAAGGTGTCGGGATGGAAGATGAATTTGTTCATTTTATACGAAGCCGAATGGACACGTCAAAGTGTCATTTTCTAAAAGATTGAAAGCTAAAACTAATCTATTCTAAGCTTAATTATTCTTTTCATTTATGGAGGACTCAATCACACCAACATACTGTGTATAGTCCACCTGTGGAGCTTGACCAGAGGTGCTTCTGTGAGGTCCTTTTTTGTCAAAAGAAGACTCACGGTGGGATACCGTGGTGCTCTTCTTTGTTTGTGTCCAAACATCTACACAAAGATGACAATCATCTTTCTTGTTTGTAGCCACGTACTGTGAGTCTGCCTTTTATCAGTGCTTCTTTGTGTGCACAGTCCAAGCATATGAGCTATGGCTGAATGTGCAGAGTAATTGAGCAGAGTAAAAATGATTACAGTTGCAGAAATTGCTCGCAACAAATGCCAGATTCTGCTGCCTGGGGTCACAATCAATCTCACTCACCAATAAGAATGAATGGGATTCTTCTGCCTGGTGATTAAACATCGCGTGCACTGTTAAACTCTAATTAGCTAAGAAGCGTGAACTTTTCTACTTGAACTTTGAGTGTGGAACAATGCCTCCTAAATTACACAACCAAAAGAAAAATATAAGGAAAAATAAATCAATTGCAGTCATAATCATACAATTGAATTAATCCAAGTATAGTATAAGACTCTATCCTAACTGTACTGTACTAATTACAGGACAACAGAAAGCAGTAGGTACAAGGGAACAAGAACTATTCCCCCTTTATATGTAATCACGAGGACAAAGGGGAAGCATGCTGTATTTTCTGTTTTGTATAGGAATGAAAGTTCTGCACATCTTGGGACTGCTATGCTGATCAAACATGGTCACAAAGGGAAAATAATTACTACAATTCACACTACACTAATTTGTGGAACAAAATATTACTAGAACAAAAATGGCCTGTAAATGGTCTGTATTTGTGTAGCGTTTTACTAGTCCCTAAGGACCCCAAAGCGCTTTACACATTCAGTCATCTACCCATTCACACACACACATTCACACACTGGTGATGGCAAGCTACATTGTAGCCACAGCCACCCTGGGGCGCACTGACAGAGGCGAGGCTGCCGAACACTGGCGCCACCGGGCCCTCTTACCACCACCAGTAGGCAACGGGTAAAGTGCCTTGCCCAAGGACACAACGACGGAGCCTGTCCAAGCCGGGGCTTGAACCGGCAACCTTCCAATTACAAGGCGAACTCCCAACTCTTTGAATTAAATCAAGCAATAAGGGTGTGATTGAAGTGCAAGCTTTCATTCAATGGCTTTAACAAAAAAAAAAAAATTTCAAATTAAAATTAATTTGACAATTAAATGCCCAGCATCTTCATGGTCAGGTGATTTTGACTGCCGAAGCAGACACAATATCTGAAGTTGATTCAGTGTGTTCTGTTTGTATTTTATAGCTTTTGATTGCAACATGACGTCTGAGGAAATGTCAGGCCAAGTCAGGGCTGCGTGATGGCAGAATTATTTCCATGGTAGAGGTCTATAATCAAGACACAACTTCATAAATGGAAATACAGATGCAACAAGAAGGTCAGATTAGACTTTGCTCATGGCGTAAAGCAGACTACAGCAGAATATAGATGGAGGCATTGCTATGGCATGGTTCATGGGCATGGTCCATACATGCCCATATTGCTAATGTGTCTACTGATAGAAGGAGCAGAATGCATCGTGAAGTGTACAGGGCTACACTCTCTGCTCAGATTCAGCCAAATGCTTCAGAACTGATCAGACAGCACTTCACAGTGCAACCAGATAATGACCCAAGGCAAACTGCTGAAGCAACCATTAGTTTCTCAAGAGAAAGAAATGAGATTGTTCAATGGCCAAGTCAACCAACTGATCTCAACTTAATAGAGCATGCTTTTCATGTTACTGAAGACAAACCTGAATGCAGAAAGACCCACAAATAAGCAGCGACTGAAGGTGGGTTCAGAATGGGGCTGACAGAGCACCTCATTGAGAGGAAACAAAGTGTGTGGTGATGTCCATGGGTTCTAGATTTCAGGCAATTACTGACTGCGAAGGATTTTCAACTAAGCAGCCTGAACTTATCAAAAGACCCATGTGTTCCTCTTTTGAACACGTGTAGCCAATATTAAATCCCTCATTATGGCCATGTTCCCTGTTTCCTTAATTCCTTTTATGCAGTGTTAGTACAAAAACATGCTGCAAGCTGATTACACTGTAACCCAAAACATTTCTGAAAATCTATGAGAAATTAGAACAAAATAAAGATTAGATGGTGGTGATAATTTAGACAGTGCCTCACCAGTTCTCTTCTGAGCCAGGTTAGAGCTTCATCAATGTTTTCAAATCCCTTAAGTCCACCTGATGGCAACTTGGGCTGACTCACATCTGGGTCCACTGAAGTCTCCTTGTGTCTAACTACTTTCCCTTTAGTCCCAGTTTCTGAGTCTCTGAAGCGATCTGCCTCAAGCCGGGCTTGCCACTCCAGGTAGGAGGGTCTCCTGGTCTCCAGTCTTAGTTTCTCTGTTAAGGCCTTCAAAGTCATCAGATGGTCATCTGTAGGCAAATCTACACCTTCCCCACAGTCTGCCTCGTCCTGGACATTTGTCCTGTTAACCACAATCTGTGGAGCTGAGTGCGAATTCATTTTTAACCTGTTAAATACAAAAACAAACAAAAAAAAAAAGCTATCTGGCCTCTTTCGTCGCTACAAATCACATCAGGCTTCCATTCTGTCTGTCCAGCATTCACTTTTCTGCCCTTTATATTCTTCAGGAGACCCAGTCTTCAGTCTTTAGTGGAATCAGATGCTTCAAATGCAGAATATCTGTAGATCTGTAGAAGAAAAAAGACACAGGTTATGAAACATTTGCTGAGAATAACAAAGGACAAACCTAATGTGCCAACATAGAGAAAAAAAACCCTGCACCTTAGTTTGGGCCCCCAATGAGATTACACTCTAGAAAGACCTTCATTGTATTTCTATAAACTGATCTGGATGAAGCATGTGGCCTCTCTAATATCAGAAATTAGGGGACGGCACACAGAGGGGGATAAAACACCTCCTGGATTTTCATTTAACAGAAACAAACTGTTTCCATAGCAACAACAGAGGTGCTATAAATGAATCAGCAATTTCCGACCTCCTGTCCACGAGGCTTATTGCCTCAATAAACCCAAAGCCACAATGAATGTGAATGTGCTTTTTTAAAAAATAAAATAAATAAAATAAAAACCTTCTCAGGACCTGTTGAGTTGGAATGCAAGACCAGTTACAACTGGTAAAAGGGGCAGCAATAGCAAAAGCACTCTTACTGCTCAGTGTCTTCCTACTGAGTCCATAAGATCTCAATAAGTGGTTGGGGTGTGCTGTTATTCTATAATAGCAGCAGTGAAGTCGCTGCCCCTGGATCTAATGATACAGCCGGCTTGGCTGCTTTGCAATGGAAAATAGACTGTGACGAGCAGCTGACTTTTTAGTAGCCTGGGAATGGATGCTGTCTTCGTTATCTGCATGAATCAGTGCATTGCTGAAGTCCGCACTGTGTAGAGAGAGCATTAAAGCTGGAGGCAGGCATTTTTAACTTTGTAAGGACCGTTCGTGTACAGTGAGGAACTGGTTAGATTGTGAATAGGGACTGCTTATCCAGAACACTTAGAAAGGATGTGGAAAAGTGTGTCTGTATCACATAATGAGCTGTGATCACAATTATAAAGAAATAGAGAGGTTTTTGTTGTTGTTTTTTTTAAAACCCCACAAACCCCTCTTTACTGGCTGGTCTGGTGAAGTCAGTCACTTTTTTGAATAGGCCAGCAGGAACTGTGCCTCTCTAGGAAGCCAAGTCTTACATCCTGAATATCAAATTCACCGAGGGCATATAAAAACACTGTCAAATGTTAGATGTCAGGGAGGGGGTGGCAGTGGGGGAAGTCCAGCTGTCCCTATCCAAATGTCCTAAGTGAATCAGCACACATCACCCATACATTCCTCTGGTTTAAACTCCAGTTGCCACACTAATAAAATATATTTTGTGGTGTTGGGACTTCTATGAGATGCCAAAACCTGGTCTGGCTGAGCAGCTTAGGAAGTCTGGCTCTCCTATCTGGAACATGAGGTCATGTCTACGTAAGAAACGCAACCACAGAGTAACTAAATGAAGCTTTAGCATATAGTCCTCCAATCTATAATAGAACCTGACCCTGAGTAATTTGCAGGGATTTCAATTTCATCTTTGATACTGAGCATAACCGAAAGAAATTATCTCCAGGTTCGTGTTAGTAGTGTAAACACTGCTGCAGCGTATTGATTTTTCCCCCCGTGTTGTGGCAACAGAAGCCCAATAAAGCAGTCTGTAGTTCAAGTGAACCAATCTTTGCATTTGTAACCCTAAAGTAGACATCGAAGCTCTACAGTTCTGACTGTATTCAGAAAAGAAGCGATTAACTTGATCATAACGCACAATGGAAGTGACAAAGACACTCTTGAGAGTTACAACATTTGAAATATATAGATCCATATAACAGTAATAGTAATAATAAAGGTAAAACAGTACTTGTTATTATATAACTTGAAGTCGTATCTGAAATGGAGAGAACCATTATGATTTTAAGTGCCATTTAGTTCTGACAGTGAAAGCGGGCATGTAATAAAAAAGTGTTTTTTAAATTAATTATTATTTTTTATTTATGAGAAAATAACATACTGATAGTTCTCACAGCATAAAAGAAACAATTGTGATTACTATTGCGCTCACTGGGGAACAAACACCATCTGTAAAGATAACATTTTTCCTTCTAAATCCCCTGGAACATCTTGCACGATGATTTATTTTGCATGTGAATCATTTCAGCCTATTCCTGCTTTTCTGGCAGCGTGCTGCAAGGTGATACCCTGAGGGGGGGGATCACCTGAAAACTCGGCTACGCACGTAGACTACGACTTCGTTTACCTTTCAGGAACCTCCCAGTAGCGGTCCAACTTACCACGCTGAATCCTGGCAGCCACATCGGCGCAGACCATCACCGCCAGTCTCTCTCCCTGATAAGATCCCCTCTATGGCTCTGCGGTGCACTTATTTTTGAGAAGGGAGCTACCGGAGGAGGGGCGGGAAGGTTGCGTCAGGTTGTGGTTGCTTGGAGACGTCCAAGGAATCCGACTTCCCGCTAGATGAATATTACTGCAAGTGCGCCACAGTCTGATGACCAGGAGACAGCGTCACTATTGTACAAACCTTTAATTCATTCAACAATTTTAAACATTAGACGAAATGTAACTGGTTACATGTTTCATATTAAATAAGCTTCACAGAATAAATACAAAGAGTTTCACAAGTAAATAATAGGTATCAACTTTAGACTGAGGGCAGAGACAGCTTTGTGTCACATTTAAAAAGTGCTGTCTGAATGTAGCTCGAGTGTAATAACAAATGATTATTAAAATAAGAGCATTTTGTGTCTTCATTTGATTTCAATAAAGCCATCAGATTGCTTACTACAGGGCTGATTGCCTTTTTGAAAGTAAAGCGCTCCCATCACAAGACATTTCATGCAGAAAGGAAAAGAGAGAAGGATCTGGCAACATTAGGCTGATGTTACATTTTCTGGTGCAGGGCATGGACTAAGCTGGTATTGGTGGGTTTAATACAGATCATTATTTACACAATCTTGTAGATTAGTGAACATAATGTAAAAAACAAAAAAACAACCAATTAAACAAAAATGGTAATGAGAACTGCTGTGGCTCTAGGGTTAGATGGAGGCTGGTGATTTGCTGTGGCAACCCCTAAATGGGTTGGGCGAAAGGAAGACCTGGGACTTACATGTGCTTAGAGTGCTGGTAAGATTACATATAAAATTGAAAACTCGTTTATCATACAGTAACAGTCAGATGTTGTACAGGCGATCTACACATGGTGTGATTGTCTTGTCATTTAGGGGTACATTTTTATGTCAAAATATCTGCAAAAGAATTAAAGGAGTGGGAAACATATTTTGGCACCACTGGAGAACACATCCCTTATGGCCTTCAAGTGGATTTTAATTCAAGTGATCTGAAAGGAAGAGACTCCTGCATCTCCACTGGTATTGTTTAAAAATAAATCTAGTTGATGACTGAAAAAACTGGCCAATGACAGATCTAATGGTTTATTTAAAACGAAATCAAATCTGTGTAGAAAGTGATGATACAATGCCTTGAGCAGAGGGCATTCACCTGATACAGTAGAGTTTAAATCCAGTGTGAAGCCATCTGGTAGGAGGTGTTTTGAACAGAGAAGGGGGAACTGTAGGAAGGGTGCTATTATGTACCATGTATTGTAATTTCTTCCTCCCTACTGCAGCCCTTTCAGATTATGGGAAAATCTATGATTACAAACTATCTGACAAAGACAAAAAATATCCCAAACTATACAAAACCCAGCAAAGCACTAAAATATCTAAATGGAGTAAGAGCTTCAGTCATAGTCTGTCAGAAAAGCTACTCTTTAATTTTCACAGGTGCTACAAATAAAAATCACTGTTATGAGAGTTAAGCTGGTTTTAAAGGAACGTCTAAGAAAAACAATGTAACAAACGTACAAATTGCACATTAACCCATTGATCCTTTTTCTTAACTGCTTGTCCACCTTAGGGGTGTTTTGAGTGACTGATCCAACTGGACAGAGGCAGTTAAAAAGGACTGATGGATGAAACAATCAGTTTCTGCAAGTTTCTTCTTTTTTGATGTTCTCATATTTTTAATGCTGGGTTGTTCTTATATTTCATAAATAACCTCTCAGATTTGATGGTTTGCCATCAAAGACCCAGACTACTTTCAATCTAAATTAATTTCATAATGTGAGTTCCTCAATCTCGTCTTCGAAGGAGGTGATGGCACGGATGGCAGGTCTGCTATCTGCAACATGGAGGGTGCTAAAGGAGGCTGCTGGAGCAGTGGGAGATCCTGAGTTGAAGTTGAGCAGTCCATCCCTTCTTGAACGCACTCCATTGGTTGTTGGAGGACTATTAAGAAGCTCCAGTTTATTGGAGGTATTCGCGCCATCACCAACAGCTGTGGCTTGGGGACCAAACAGCTGGTGCATTAGACTTGACTTCCTGTCCTTTCCCTGAGCTTTTTCTGTCTCCCTCTCCTCTGCCGCACTGATATTAAACACCCCTATTGCTTCTAACGCAGATTCCTTGTCCTCTTTGGGTGGAGGTGGAGGGAAGCCAGAGGAACCACGGAAAGTTGAATGTACAAATGAAGGTGCGTAACCTCCAAATGCCAAGTCATCGCTGGAGATTTGAGACCGGAGCGCTCTCCTCCCTATCCCTGCTGTAACTGCTCCACCCTCTGTGCCTAGTCTCCTCCTTCCACCTTCTTTGCTCCCAGCACGCAAACCATCCGGCTCCTCTGAATTAGTTAGGCTGAAAATCGAAGAGTTATGGTTCCTTTGCTCAGGAGGGCGTGGAGAAGAATGTTCACCGAGACCCTTATTGGACTCAGAAGGACTCGAGGCAAACAAGGAATCCTGGGCCCCCTGTTTCTGACTGTCTATTTCCCGCATCTTTGCCAGCAGCTGCTCTTTTTTGCGCCGCGCTTCTTCTGATGCTTGCTGACAGGCCAGCGCCTCCTGATTCCATCTCTCCACCTCTCCCTGGACATGACCGTGCTTCTTGTAGTTATCATCCCCATTCTGGTTGAACAGGGAACTCGTCCACTTTTGGCCCTCTTCATCCTTTTCTTTCTCTGAGCCTGTTGGGATAGCGTTCCTCAGATTAAAGTACAAACAATGCTGCTTCGACAAGCTTTTTATAAGTGAAGTATATGCTCTACAACTACTCTTAACTAATCTTTGGCTTACCGTTTCTTAAAAGCTTTGCCTTAACTTCAAGCGCTTTCTGTTCCTGATCAAGGTACTTTTTGGCCTCTTTCTCTTCCTTCACCAACTCCTTCTCCTCATGTCTTTCTCTACTCTTTTGTTCCCAGATTGGTCCCCTGTCTTCTGCCTCTGCTTGATTGACCGCTCTGTTAAGCTCCTGATAGCAGAAATTTGAAAAGTGATGAATGACAACAATTAGTGGTAAAAGATGTGGACAAAGTAAGTACAAGGAAAGAGTAGACACCACACCTTAAGTGATAAATATTCATCAGGTGGATGTTCCCTGTACTCGCTGGCATCTGTGATAGCAGGGGGAGGTGTGGGAAAATCCAGACTCAGCATCCTGCCTTCAGTCTGTATTGCCTTAGAGCTGCTCCTGCTGGGAACTATGTGTGGGAAAAGTATAAAATCACTTTTACTCAACATATTTCTGACCATCCCATTACACAAAGCACTATCATTACTTATAAGCAATCCTGATTGCTTTTTAGCCACCATGCATATTTATTGGTATGGATTCAGACACAGCCAATGAAGTTACAGCAAAAACATGTATCAAATATCAATGTGGGAAAAAAATTCAGGCTTTCCAAAGGATTCTATCCAACACAAAAAGTGAATTTTGTGACTCATGATACCATCTGGCATCCACTTTTTGATATAAAGTCAAATGAACTACACAATAAGCCTCAGCAAGTTAATTGTTACCTTTGTGCTTTGTGTCACTTTCAGTCTCTTTTTTTTGTGAGGGTTTCACCATGCGATTGGCATAAATATTCTTCGCATCGAGTTCTCTCTCCTTTTCCTGAACATTTTAAGAAGAAATTTAAAAAAAAAAAAAAACTGTTTTACTCAATGAGCAATCTGCTTTTGATGCACAGTCCTGCTTTCGATGGCAGCGGCTACTTTTTAAGGTTATTTTTTTGTACATGTACCTTGAGTTTATTGTTCAGTCGGTCAAGTTCCTCCTGGAGAGCCCTGATCTCTTCCTGGGTACTAAGTGTCTTCTTCTTCTCTGCGACAAGCTGTCTCTGATAACTGCTATTTCTTAGCTCCATGCTACGCTCCACCTCCTTCAAACACAAACACTCATTGAAAGTTGCTGCATTGAAAGGGAACCCATGGTTTAGGATAAAAACAATAAATGAGAATTACAATTTTGAGTGTTCACTGACAAGAGATTGCACATAAATGTGCATCAGTTTGTTATATTGTAAACCAGAAACCCAACATTCAACATGTTCCAGGTTAATCATTCATGCTACAAAGCAGTATGTGGGGCTCTAGAAATCAGGGTTAATAAGACTTAATTTCAGGTCAATAAGTATTTAATCGGAATCCAGAAGATCCAGAAGAAGGTTAGATCTTTTATTCCACTGTCTATTTACCTTAAGCTTACGTTCAGCTTCTTGGGCCCGCAACTTCTCTTCCTCTAGCCTGCGGCTGAGCTCCTCTCTGGCTCCTAAATCCCGCTGCTCGACCAGCTTCTTCAGCCGTGAAATGGTAGCTTGACCCCTCTGAAACCGCTCCTCGGTGTCCCTCAGCTGCCGCTCAGCTTTCCGTTCCCGTTCTTGGGTGCGCCTGAGACGTTCACGCAGCACGTGGATCTCGTTGGAGTGCCGGGATAAGAGCTGGGAGATTTCGCTTTCTGTATCATCGTACCGCTGCAGGGCTTTCTCTTGACGCACCTGAAGCTGAAGCATGGCAAAGGTTGCATTGAGAGTGGTGAAGAAGAAGGAGAATTGTAATTGATTTTCCTGTAAAAAAGTCTGTTTCTTTTTTACTACAAACATGAATAAAAGCCATAAAATTATTTAAGAACACTCTTCCTTCAAAGCATTTAAACCAAATATTGAAACAGGCCTACCTGTCGAAGAATTCGATTTTCTTTCTGCAGTTCGTCCGTGCGCTGCTGCAGCTCAGAAAGAGCATTGCGCAATTCATTGATTTTTAGGAGGCGGGCCGAGAGCATCCGCTTGGTCACCAGGTCCAGGTCTTTAGGTGGTGTGGACTCCTTGCTGTGAGAACGCACCCCCCTTTGATACTGCTGAGTCAGGGGGTGACCACCTGGTCGCTGTGGGCGAGACAAGCCCCGGCGCCCCAAACCACCTGCAAAGCAGAGAAAGACATATCATGTAAAATCTAAAAACATGATGACAAAAGCTCCTATGAAAAGATTTTTTTTAAGTCAATCAGGCAGTCAGAATGTGCCTTACACTGCCATTATCTAAACAGTCAATTTAATCGTCGAATGAATGAGATTTTAGCCTCATTCATCAGTTTAACTGTTTATCCACTTCCTTCCTTCTTCACATACCTGTCTTGTGGAGAGGGCTGCCAGAGATCCTCTTTGCCCGCACCCCTCTATGTGGGGTGGGTGAAGGAGTCCGGGACCGGGAGTACGGTGAGACAGAGCACTCTGAATGAGACTCGTTTTCATAATTCTCAGAATAAAATGACCCACCACTTTTGCTTCCCTCTCCTTCTGACATCCGATCCCGATCAGGATCTGAATGCCAAGTTCTGGTTATAGATCTGACATCACCTGAGTCAACTTTTGTATCCTCGCTGTGCATCTTGTCCCAGAAGTTCTGTTTGTGTTCCTGGACGGATGAAGCCCGAGAATCTTTCTTTGTACTACGGCAGGACTGGCGACTTAAATCCCGGTTGTCTTCATATGGGTGAGCTACTTTTTCAGATTCCATGTCGTCACTTAAGACATGCTGGATTTAAAAAACAAGAACAGAGAAACAGAACAGATTATGAAGTGTAGTGAATTTTGCTCTTTAAAATTTAGGTTGTTACCTTTGAACTGAGCTCTACATTTATAATGAGTAATGTTCAATCAAAAAGAATATTCTTAAAGCTAAAAGAAGCTAAGCTAACTGGTTTCGTTTAGGTTTTTAGTTTTATGTGTCTTGGTCACCAAGCAACAAGATGTGTGAGGCAGAATTTTCCATGAGACTGAATCCCGTATGATATGAGTGGTCTCTGCAGTAGAAAACTAAACGGTACATTGCGTCCATCTGCCCTGGTGACTTATTAACGACTGAATGTAGCACAGTGCACAAAGCTTATCAATTAAATAAATAAAAAAAGATAAAAGAAAAGAAAAAGTAGAATTAAAGTGATGTGAATAAGGGTATCCTTTATTCACACCTTTATTAAGAAGATGTGATTTTACATATTCACATATATTGTATATATAATATTCTCTTAGAAAATAAAATCTTGCTAAAATGTTGGAAAAGGAATATATTTCTGTGAAGAAAGTCAATATCGAGTAAAATTTAGGGAATTCTCACTCCTATTAAAGTATACTTGCTGACAGGACATTAAGAATCGCCAGAAAACAGAAGCAAGTATCTGTGAGGGTCACCTTATATATCAAATTCTAGTCGACTTTGTCCTCATGTCTTCATCGCATCTTTTGCCTCAGGAGGAACCTGGAGGAAATAGCAGCCCATCATTGCCATTTCCTCTAGATTCCTGGTAAGTCTAATAAAATCGAGTCTCAATATTAAGTGAAGACAAAGGATGCCCTGGCTTACAGCAGCGGCACTGCCCTGCACTTTGTGGATCGAATTGACGGGATTAAAGTAAAGCGTGTGCTGTTCCAGGTACTCTGTTGTTGACAGATTGCCTGTCAATTAAAAACAACGAAATGTATCACCTGGACTTTATCACATAACTCACCGAACCCTCTATTAGTTTATGTATCTTGCACATTTCAATTATGTGCAAGCAAAAGGCAAACGAAACTTTAAAAAGCTCTTCGACGACATAATATCAGTGTCACTGTAAAGCTAACGGTGCCGCTAGGTGAATAACAGCTAACAACAGCCACTTAATATTAGCATAGCAACACAAAATCACCACCATCATCAACAGGTGGAGTGTGCTGTAGCGATCGGAATCTTTCAGCACTAAACTGCGCTAACTTACAAATGTCTGTTAATGTTGCTCAGTTTCCGCCTGAATGTGCAACACTTACCCGTTTCTTGTTTTGATTGGATCGGCTACTGCAAGCTAAAGAGCTATTAGCAAGGTAGCTTGAACTTTAGCTAACTTAGCTGCCGTTAGATATAAAATAAAGACTATGGGTTGTACACCCGTTTTTGAAATAAACTGTCATGGCTGTCGCTTTATCAATAACAAGAGAAAAACAGCACGTCGTCGGCTAAAAGTAGTCCTTCTCTTTAGTGCCATAGAATTTCTAATAGCATTTTTTCCAGTCCACGCCTAGACGTTTGCTTCAGAGTAGCTGCTGACGCCGTACCATGGCAACCGCAGCTCTCCCTGCAATACTACACTACCACCAGAGAGGCGCTGTTGTACATGTTATGGATGGTCGTGATCATTAAAAATGACCGAAAAAGAACTATTAAGGCTTTATCGCAGTTTTGTGTGTGTGTGTGTGTGTGTGTGTGTGTGTGTGTGTGTGTGTGTGTGTGTGTGTGTGTGTGTGTGTGTGTGTTGGGTTGGGGGGGTTATTGAACAAAAACTATATGTGTTTTTATATGAATATAAAAACTTTTTTATTCGCAGGTGCGTGCATACCAGACGACAAAAGCACAAAACACGCCTAATTTAATCAAGAATTCTCTCAATTAACACAATATTATTTGCATTTTGAGTATTTGGGCCTATAGCTGCATAAAAAATGGTTTTAAAATGGAAATGCTCATAAAATATACTTGATCCATAAAAGCAATGTCTTCACCAGAAAAGTCCTGACCATTATAAAATAATAAATTTCTTTTATGGTGGATCCACCTCAATATGACTCGGGAGTATATTTACAAAAGATATACAAATCAAAAATACTTCGGTATTAACTTCAGTAACTTAACGACATGGTTGTTTTAATTTGAAAGTGAGACCGGAAATGGATGTTGTTTATATATTCCTTTTAATGTAATGACGTGCGTTGAGCTGAGCTGTGAGTGGTGTGGGTGTAACAGTCAGCAGAAGCGCACGCTGTGTTATTGTGATGGCTCAGTTTGAATATTGGAGCCTGGTGTCTTCGCTCATCTAAAGCACATTTGCATAGTTTTCACAAATTTAGCGTTTTTTGTTCTTTTTTTTTATTTCTTGAAGGGTGGCAATAAACGAGGCTCGCTGCCACCAAACTGTTTTGCTGATCGTCTGACAGTAATTCGGGATTAAAATGGTCATCAAGGTTTACGTCGCCTCCTCAACTGGCTCTCTCGCGGTGAGTGTTTGCTAATGTGCCACAGAACTTGTTGACAGGTGCTTGGAAACAGTGCATTCAGAAACGCCGTGCGTAAATTTTCACTGCCACTTTATCGTTTGAACTCAATTATGTAATGGGACTAGGAGTGCGCCTGTTCGCGCTCAGCCACTTCAGACAGGCGCTGAAATCAGTCGGCATCATTTAGACAGGTGAGAAGGCTGCTCGGTAGTTAAGGTGCGCATTTCTGGTTAGGTGGACTTTGAAGTCTTCGTCTGTGCTGTGGACAGATCCTGTTAAAAGCTTTACTTATTTATTTATTTATTCATTTTTAATTCTCTAAAAGCACTGTATATGCACTTGCATCTCAATTGTATTACAATTAGTCTGGCTTGTGGCCTCGTATGAGGTTTAAGGAACACAGCGAAGCTGAAACAAACAAGCCTGTCTCTTCTGTGGGCATAAACAAGCATGATGTTCCCGTTAGGCTTCCTCTAAATGTACTGACAAAATAACAGAAACACCCTACTTCTTATTCTTACGTTAACTATACCCTCAGAAATTCCTGTAAATATCTAGTTTTGTCTGATTGACCCAGCATAAATATAAAGGGCATTTAAGTCCATGTGATTAAGTGGCATCCCAGAATATATTCGAGCGGATATTAAAACTATTATCAGATCAGGTTGATGTATAAACACAAAGAACAGTCTGGTTTTTATGGGATAAACAAATAGTAGACCTGCTGGCAGCTAGAATGTGATTCTTCCCAGTGAGATGTTGAACTGTGGTTCATGTCCAGTGTAAGTTTAGTCGGAGTACTTTTTCTGTTTTTTTTTTTCCTCACAGTTTTCTATTGTAAATATGATTTGTTTCTAACATTTGACAGGTTTTCACAGATTTTTATTAGTCTGTAATGTAGTGCACAATCAGATGAACCAGATGCAGCTGCAGTCCTGCTGCCCATTTTGGCAAACTGCAGTTGCCTGCCATAGAGAAAGTCCAGCTGATATTGAGCGTGGGCAGAAAAACCATCACACAACACTCCTGCAAGAATGCTAAAAGAGTTAGGTAATGGGACAAATGAGTAATATTTATGTTATCATGCTTCGTCTCTTGAAGAGGGCAGGCCAATCTTTGAGCGTTTACAAAGGAGTTATTTTTAACCCTATGACACATACATTCAAAACAGACAGACTCCCTTTTTTTTTTTTTCTCCCCCAGAGACAAGAAAGAGCCATGCTCGGTGGAATAGGTCCACCATTGAACCAGTATTGAGCTCATGTGAATCTAATCCACTTTGAATGCTCTTCAATTGAGTTACATGTGATTGAATAAAGATGAAAGGTGAGGCGTGTGTGTGTGTGTGTGCTGGAAAAATATAGTAGATAATGGCAATGAAAGATGGAGATGGTGGAAGATGACATGAAAAGCTGCAGTTTTAATACATCTGGAGAACGCAAAATACAAATGCTTAGGAAAAACTGTGTGTGTGTCCTCATTGGGTGGGGGGTGCAGCTCATGGTTTAATCTCAGCAAATTAGTGGGGCGGAATCTAATGAGCACAGAATGAATGAGATGTAAATCAGGTTATCCCCCCACTCTTTAGTAGATGTGTTATGTGTTAAGTCTCACCCAAATGACCTACTATGATCATAGTTTCTATTAATTAAAACTCTTTGCATTATGTAGCCTAATAACTGTTGAAATGTTGGCTTTGGGCACGCATGGGCAACCATTCTCTTAGGAAAAATCATTGTGTGCCACATGATTTTAGGCATAGTGTGAAGGTAAAAAAAAATGCACATAACCTCCTGATCTTTATCTTAACCAAAAACAAAAAACCTAAAACATGCACGTTTTTTAGAATTAAAAAAATTTCCAATCCCCAACATAGGTGTAATTAATTATCAGTAGCAGTGCTTTTCTATCACATGTCATTTATATTCCCTGTTTGTGACTGAAGGATTAATTCTCTCTTAAATTAATCCCCATGTTTCATTAAGTCCTCTCAAACACAGCGCGTTTACTCTTGTGTGCTTGATTGTTTGTCTTAAATCCTACATGTATGCACGCACACACACAAAATCTGAACTCACCCATTCCACTGATGCACTCTTTCGCTCGCACTCACAGGGGGCACCTCTTTCATTATTTAGGCCCACGCTGCCTGTCTTTCACCTCAAAGGACGACCAACCGTCTCATATATGCCGTGCTGTTTACTAGCACTGTGACAAACTGTATGCTTTTAGGAGTAAAAGTGAAGTGAAGGTTAAACCTGTGACCTGGACAAAAAAACCCAATTTGTCTCTTTTAAAGATTGCCAGTAACCATCATTTACTGTCCTATAAGTATCTTATCAGTCCAGATAAAGCTGTTTTATGACCACACACAGAGGAGCTTTTAGAGCGAGACAATAGATGACTTGAATCTTTGTTTGGGTGTGTGTTTTTGACCAAGTGAGCGGAACAATCCCTTGCTGTCTTTTAAGTTGGAACAAAAGGATTATTGTGGCTCCTTAATGTTGAGTAAATGTAAAAACACAGCAAAAATATTTTGCATTAAGACAGATTTTTTTGGGGGGAAAAATAAGGAAATGGATAATTGATGGTACATTTGGTCACAAGAAAGCCAATTCATCGTTCTTTTGTTGTTGTTTTTTTAGGGGGGGGGGGCAAATTGTTTTAATTAATCTGTTTTTTATGATGATAATGAGTGCTCAAGCATGCAGTCCATTGTTATGCTTGCATAAACAACAATGGCCTGCATGAATGTATAAACAAATTGGAAGTGGCAAATAGAATTTAGTATTACATTACGATTGATGTTGCTACCTAAACGGCTTCAAACTCTGAATGATTGCATATTCTGAAACAAGAAAAGGCCGTCCATAAAGGATTGGAGGACAAAGAGACAAACACTCGGCAACAGTTGCGGGTCTGAGACATTTGGACCATGCATCTAAAGTGTGTTTATGACCAAGTGTGGGAGTGTTCTGTTTTCTAAAAATATCCTTGGACTTTTCTTTCCCACAATTCACAAACACACTCTGTCCCAGAGTACTTGGGTCACTACTATAGGGAGTAGTTGCGTCCATCCTAGACCATAGCTGAAAAAGTTTGCTCCATAGGGCACTTTTAAGAATGGGGTAAAGTCCTGCATACAGCTGTAGTTGTAGATTGCCTATATAATGTGAGTGTCGCTTTAAATGTACTTCCACAGTACAGAAAGTATGTTCGCCTGTTTATCTGTTGCAGTAATGATTGAGTCGTGTCTAAATGATGAGAAATATTCAGATTTGTTACTTTAATAATGGAATAATAATGATGGTAACTGATAGGTTAATTGATGAATAATTATCCTTAAATCCAAATCTTGTAATTTGGCAATCGTATTGATATAAGACAAGACGTACAGTAGAAAAGGATTTTGCGTATTGGATTTCAAATGCAACGCCCTTTACTAATCTAATCAATAATCCTGCTTATTACCAACAAAGTTGATCTTCAGTTAATGCGTACACTGTACTCCCTCTGTTTGTGTGTGTGTGTGTGTTTGTGTGTGTGAGAGAGAGAGAGGCAGAGAGCGCTCCACTCACTCTTACTGGTGTCAGTTTACCATTTGTCATTTCAGGACTGCATTAAATACCTGACTGCTTAGCCAGGTGCCAGTGCTCAGAGGCAATGGATATGAAACACACACATAGAAACTACCATTTCTAACTGTACTTAACAACACATATATGAAGCATTTTAACCATGGCAGAGGGAAAGTAGTGTAGTTGAGCTTGAGCTTTTTGGTTTTATAAAATCCTCTATTCTTGTGACTTCTCTTTTTTGGATTCTTTTAAGAATTTTTCTATCTTTCTCTGCCCTTTTCTTTCTTTTTATCAATTGCCATCTAGGTAAAGAAACATCAGCAGGCAGTAGTTGGTTTCCTGGAGGCCAACCGAATCGACTTCCAGGAAGTAGACATTACGATGCTGGAGGAGCAACGGCTCTGGATGTACCGCAACATCCCCAGGGATAAGCAACCAGAGAAGGGCAACCCACTGCCTCCGCAGATTTTCAACGATGATCGCTACTGTGGTGTACGTGGTGGTGATGGGGTTATGTTTATCACATTTTTTATAACCAGACATATATTTTGACCACATCTTCCATTCCAGTGTTTAACAAGACTCTCAGTTGTATTTCTTTCCTGTTGTACCTGATAAACATTGGCTATGGTCTGATGATGACTTATCTTGGTTAGATATCTACTGATTACACTGGAATCACCTAAAAACTGCCCTCTGCCCCCAGAGGCATACTTGCATAATGCAGTATGGATTAATCTATGAAAATAATTATCTCCAGCTCAAGCCTTGAAATTATGCCTTGACCTTGTACTTTGCAGGTTGTGGTGGTGGGTGAGTTGTTCCAGGTTAAAAGCAAATGAAAGAAAATCTGCACTACAAAGCTTAGAGGACTGTTGCCCTCCATCTACAGATCAGTGAAACTCTCCTTTCTGTCCGTGTAAAGACATTTACCTGAACATTTAACCATGTCTTAATTAGGGAGGGGAATTGATTCCAATTGCGTTATTGATATCAGTGTTAGCAGCATAATGCAGTTTTGCTGTCTTGGACACAATTTCCATTTTTAAGAAAAAGAAGTGTCATTTCAACAGTACGTCTGAGTTGTTCAGCATGATAGGTTCAGGTAGCTCATTGCTCATTATGCCCTTTAATTATAAAATAAAAAGTTTTCATTAATTCATTTTTAACAGTGAACCCACACTTGAAAACAGACATTTCTGTAGCAGGTTGTGCGAAATCTCTCATTTAACTGTTAATCTGTCACTTAATTACTTTTGTGTAGTATGAATGGCCATTTGGGGGTTAGGTTTTTATCACTAGGAAAAGCTGTAAAACGTGTGAAAATACAGTCAAAAGTTCAAAATAGCTGAAATATCAAAAGGGAAATTTGGCTAGTTGAGTGCTTTGGCTTATATCTCAGAATCACCCAAAACACATGGCTTTTTCTTTCTCCTGTACTCAGTTTCAGATGAAACCTTTTATATAAATGAAGCAAGCAACTGCCAACAAAAGCAAATGATTTCACAGTTCAGTGTGTACTACTCCCTAAGTCTAAGTGAGAAATGGCTCTAATCAGAAAAGAATGAGAACTAGCTAAATTTGCCATTTGCCAGAGACAACCAATGCTTTGTGGGCTAGTATTCTGAAACCTCAAGAATAAAACATTATTCTTATTTTATATAAGTCATGGACAGCTTGACTGTACGTGGATCAGCAAACACAAAATGAATGTTCATAACATGATTTATGGTTCACCAGACTTTTTTTATTACTTTTTATTTTGTACTTTTTCCAAGTTTATAGAACATGCAAATCGTTAATAGCAAGCCAAATTATATCGGCATAATATATTATAATATATATAATATATATATATATATATATATATATATATATATATATATATATATATATTATATATATATATATATATATATATATATATATATATATATATATATATTTTTTTTTTATTATTATTTTTTTACAGAATGCTTGATGCATGGATTTCGCCAATTTTAAGTGTATGCCATTAGTTTACACTGATATGTGTCAATACATCAATCTAAGCAATCTATATGATGGTGATTTTGATCAGTTGCCAGTTTACATCCTCCATTGAGATTGCAGGCTGCTCTGTAATCCTGTCGTAATCCGGTTTCACGGATGGGGCAGATTATCTGCTCTGCTTGACATCACTCTGACTGGCCAAGGCTCTCAACACTGATCTACAATGTCAAACAAATATTTTAAAAGGAGACTCAGAAGGCCTGGTTTTTAGGGAAGCGTATAACCACCTTTCAATCTTCCAATTGCTCAAAACCTAACATCCTCCTCTCCTCCGACAGGACTATGAAGACTTCTTCCTGTCTAAAGAGAACAACACTGTATTTGCATTCCTTGGGCTCAGTTCCCAACCCTCTGTTAAAGTAAGTGAATGTGCATACACACGAAGCACATTGTTCTAACTGTAACTCAAACCGCTGACATGGTTTCCAGTCACATTTAACCCCCGGTGTTACTGCTTCATCAGCATCTTTACTCTCTGCAAACTTTGGTTTGTCGCTTATGTACTACATACTTTTAATTTCATGCACATCAGCTTTTTTGAGGAGTTGAAAATAGAGAATTCAGAAAAATCATGAAATCCCGTAGTTGTGGATTCAGTGAGCATATCTCCTCTCCTCAATATTAATCTTTTATGTCTTTCACTTAGATATCCTCTTAGAATTTATTATGTAATGATAGTTCCAATGCTTCTTCAGAAAGAGTTAGCTTTTGTGCTAAGAGTTGCAAGAAAAGTCAGTCCTTACATACAAGACCAGCTATACTGGTTCTTTTGAAAGAATGCAGAATTACAGGACCTATGTATCAAATATGAAAGAGACCTATTTTGAAACCCCACTAAAAAGCATGTATTTGATTTCTCCAAGTCACACCCATCTCTGTTCCTCGCCTAGATCTTGATTGGATAACTGAGTTAGAAGTGATTTGATTAGACCAGCAGTTTTTTTTGTTTCTTTGTTTCTTTTGTCTGGTTTTGGAGTACAAAAAAACTGGTGCAGCAGATATAAGAAATATTTTTCACACTAAGCAAACTGACTATTGTGCTCTCTCTCTTTTTCCCCCCCAACAGGATTCAGAGTCATAGATCAGACTGCTGGTACTTGTCCAGAATTAGTATCTCTTCCTGGATCTTGCTGCCTCCTTTTCCACACTTCTCCTTACAGCATTTTGCCAAAAGCTGTTACATGTGGACTTACCTCGTGTGACCTCTTCTGACTTGAAAAACTCCTTAAACTCTTTTCCACCATCACCAAGTTTCCAAGTGTCTGACTCTGAAGAAGTCAGAGACTTACTCACTGACACAGGAGATTAGCTTGATGAATCAGTTTCTTTCCTTTTTGTTTAACACACTGTGGCGGCATATACTGTTTCTGAATAAAGTAGCAAATATTCTGAGCTATTAGATGATGTAGCAGCTTCTGCCCTTTGGATAACCTAAATGTAGTGAGTAGGGAAGGGAAAGATCATGTGCAGCAGTGTAAAACAGATCATCTGAATATACCGCTGCAGTGTGTCTTTGTGTTTCTGTTTCAATCAGCAGCTGTTAATGACAACCAGAAACAACCTAAGCCTGTGTGTACCTGTGAGAGTGATAGTAGCCATCTAAACAAAAGACTGCAGCTGACAACGTAGCAGATGAGACCCAAGAATCATAATGCATATTAAGAATTAATAATAATTCTAAATATTTTTATGCTGAATCACCTTGATCTTGCTCTTATATTAATCCACTGCCAAAGTTTCTGCAAATAATTTGCCTGGTATTATTTTACTTGGCGCTGTTTAAAAAAAAAAAAAAAAAAAAGAAATCAAAATGACAAGTTTCTCAGTGCTTTGTGACCTCCCTACACTGTGTGACGCTCAGCTCCAGCAGTCTTCAGTTGTTGTACAAGTGTACGTATTCTTTTTTAAGCTGTTGATTAATAAACATTTGGTGCTAGTGAGTATTTACAGCAGGATGATGTGGGTTTTGTTAATCTGCTCACCAGTGCATTTTTTAAAATAGTCATTAACACTAAAGTCCATATTAGACGCAATTAAGCTGTGTCACAATCTGGATTAATTCTGTTTTTTAATCAAATTTTGCTATTGCTAAAACACAATTACCAATAACTGAGCCGTGACAGTGTGTATCATCCTATTACTACACAAGATTGATCATTGATCATCTAGTTATTGGTGAAAGTTTGAGAATTTGTAATGACAACCTGTGCCTCCCCTTCTTTCTATATTTATAAATGTGAAATGTGAGCAAACTACCCTCTGTGTGTTTAAATTTGATATATGTAGCATATCAGGTCCAGCTCTTTGTCCTTTCCTATTCATCTATATTCTGTGTTACCGCTCCCCAACACCAACGCTGATTATATTATTTACATTACTCCCCCCAGTCAGATGGATTTGGATGGTAGCTGATTTTAGGTTTACAGATGAAGGAAAAACCAGACACGCCATTTTTTCCCCTAAATGTTGTGCCATTGTGTGTAAAAGGATGTCTGAGTTGCACATATATCAGTCAAACGGCGTTGATCTTATACTTTCATCACTCATGACGATCACAACATTCCCGTTTTGCTGATTTAAGTGAAAGAAAATTGTGAAGCTTGTAAATTTTTGTGAAGAATATGTTAAATAACAAAGTCACTGCATGTACTGTGTTTCAACTTTCCCTGCGACTGCTTGTAAGAAGCTTTTTAGATTTGTACTCATGTGACACATTACTGTAAAGCATATTTTGCACAACAATGCTGATTATAATATTGTCAGTTAATTTGCATCTCTGTTTTTCATATGCATGTTATTATTCTATTACAATTTAAAACAATTAAAATAAGAGAATTACCATAGAGTCAGTATTGATTTAAAAGCAAATCAAACTGAGAATAGCAAACTGACAACTGAAGAGAACATTTAGAAAATCCATTTTCAATGGCTCTGTATGTCTTTTCTTGTGTTATGCCAATAATGCAAATTGTATGAACTGCCCTTTGAATTCAGCTTTCTGCTGATGGGTATCAGAGATACATTTCCTGTAAGGTTTCTCAAACAGGAACTTAATGGAAATATAAGATGACATATTGCAAACTCAGGCAGAGAATGAATAGCACCAAGTTGGACCATGTTTGCCTTCAGAACTGCCTAAATTTGTCATAGCAAGGATTCAACAATGTGCTGGAAACATTCCTCTGAGATTCTGGCACATGTGACATGATAACATCACGCAGTTCTGCAGACTTGTTGATTGACACCCAGAGGCCCAAAGCTAACTACAGAAAATCCCATACACGATTACACCACCAGCACCAGCCTTGATACAAGAATGGATCCATGCAGAGAACAACCACTCACTGGATATTTTTTCCAAAAATTCTAGAGATGGTTGTGTGAGAAAATTCCCAGAAAACCAACTTGTCTGACACCATTAACCATACCACATTTATAGTCCTTTAAATCATCTTTCTTCCCCATTCTGTTGCTTTTATCTTGTCTACATGCCTAAATGCACTGAGATATTGTCATGTTATTGGCTGATTGGACATTTGGATGGACCAGAAGCTGAACTGGTGTATCTAATGTAGTGGAGGGAAAGTTTATCTGGCTTTTTTTCAGTGGGGAAACAGGAGTGGCCACTAGTGGACCTGTGAAGAATGGCAGAACAATTCAAGCTGAAGCAGGGTGAACAGTTGGACGTTAAAAGTGTTGACGATACAGTGTTGTCTATAAAATATGTAAAAGAAATGGTCAAAATGCCTTAAATTAAAAACAAATGTATAAATTTGTGTCCACGGGTGAAGGGATGTTTGTAGGCCTAATTTCACAGCATCAAAGGTACCAGTTTCTCCAATTTCATTAAGTCATTGTGACTCCCACTATGTATTCCAATAAAGTACTTTTTTAAGGAAGAACAAAAGGCTAATGTTAGCACAAATATGAGCCAACAACATGATAATATACTGCTAGTGCTGAAATTGCTGTTGTAGTTGTAACCCTGGTATATACACGCCTTTCTACTTATTAGACTATTATCCTGTTTGTGACATGATTGGCCTGTTTTTCAGACCACCCACGGTGTTGTCAGGTAGGTTTGTGAGGTAATTTCCCATCAGAGAATCTCAGATTCTATAATGATTTACCCAGATGTCAATATGTGCAATATGTGCTTAACCTACTGTCCTTTCAAACTCCAGTATTCTCTAATGTTAGATCGATTCTCCCAATGATAAAATTTGGAAATAGAAAATTGCGTTGTTTACAATGTCTGGCTCCGTTTGGACACCCTAGACCACGAAGCCACAATCTTTGTGGCTGTGACCCATTTTAGTGAAAGATTGATTACAAGGACATCTTCACTGCATGTAAAATTTTAACAAATAAACCAGACAGCTTCTCAGAGGATTTTTATTTTTATTTTTAGATAAGCAATAAGACTTTGTAAGAAATAATATTAAATTAAGTGAACGGACAGTTTTATATATGCCAGGTCTCATAGAAATCTCTGAGATTTTATTATCTGGATAAATAAAGGACTGATAAATATATTATTTTCTTATTACATTATTCTCATGTAGCCAGTTCAAGATACTAAACTCTGGTTTCCTATTACTGTGCTTTATGGTGCTCTCTGTGCAACTAACCAGCAGATTAACTTTAGTTATGCCTGTTATAGATCAACCTGATATCATAGCAAAGCGTGTAATAGAGATGGCGTTCCAATATGTCCATTCCACACTTTGGATCTCTAAAGTGTGAAAATGGATGTTTCTTGAAGGTGTTTCACCTCTCATCCAAGAAGCTTCTTCAGTTCTAAAACCACATGGTGGAGAGTCCCAGGTATTTAATCCCTAGTGGAAGTTGTCCTTTAAGTTGTCAATTATTAATCATGTGTCTCACTACATGTAACTCATCTGTCTCGCCACCAGGGAAGGGATCTCAAAACTGTGTTGTAGGTGGTTGACAATTGGTGCGTAAGCCACCCTCTCTGTTCACGGATGGTCGTTCATAGTGTACATTGATGGCATCTTTCACTCCTTCAGTCTCAGATGCCATCTGAAGGTTTTGGGGCTGCAGTCTGCATTAGTAATGGCCTTAAAATGAAATTAAAGCTGATGTGAATGATAACTACAAGTAGGTTTAGCACAGAAGTAGGTCAGTCGCTAAGTTTACTGACTGATATTTCACAACAAGCAACCACAAAAGCATCCCTTTGACCTTGATTTCCTAATTATCTATGTTGTTGTGAGTAAATAATTACCTCTGCCAAAGGAGATATGTTCTTGGTAGCTGTTGCATGTGTGCATGTTTATGTATGTCTCATTCTATCTATAAACATGACAGCTTGCAAAGTTTTGAATAAATTGTGCCAAAATTTTGTAGGGGTGTAAAGTGGGGTCATCTTAACAATCAATATAAATTTACCTTACATTCAATACGATCTTCAAGGTTAACCTAATGAATGGCTATTGACAAAAACTTAACTGTGTATTGTTAGCATATAAAAAGTACCAAAAAGTACCAATACCAGAAGTAAGAGGTCACATTTGACCTTTGATCTCTCCTTCAAGGTCAAGTGATTGTTCTGAAGGTTATAGTAATGTATATAGAGATCTTCAAAATGAATTACCTAATGCCATTGCTTGTACTGACAACATATAGGCATATAGGGAATGATATATAAGGATTCAAAACATTGCATTACTTCTTTCTGACCTCTTCTTCAAGGTCAGAAAATGTTAAAATTTCATTAAAAATTATTTTGTTGTTTTTATTGGCAACATTTCCAAAAATAAACATTTAAACAAATTTTATAAACAATGAAATGAATGCTACATATGTAGTATATTCACATAAAAAATGACAACTGTTTATTTTTAAAATTATGGTAAGTATATTAAAATGAGTTTCAAACAGGGCAAATAACGAAAACTTGCACTTTGATTTGTTTATGCTCCATAACATAGTACTCATGTTTAAAAAGAACAAAGGCAACAAAGTTTTTTTTTTTAAATTTTATATACTGTACATAAGATATGCTATACAAATACTATTCCTTTCAAAGTAAAAACTGCCAGAGAATGAGCCACCTTGGTGGAGAGCTGCACTATCATTCTTGTTCTTATTGTCTTTCATTATCTTTTGCAACATCATGTAAAATGTTGCTTCTCTTTATGATGAATATGATAACTATTTAAAAAAAATAGTATATGTAGGCTTTAGTGAAAAACAAAATCCACTCATCGACTTGTCTTTAATGATTGATCAAAATGTCAATATCTCTCCAGTTTGCAATCCAAGTCCAGCTAGAGTTTGATTTATAGCAAGGAATTTGTTCATTGGGGTTTTTGTTCATCAGCTCATCCTTAGGGTGAGCAATTTATTACAAATACTGATTTCATTTTTAAAAGATTTCTAGTCGTTGTGACTTGTTGTGAGTCGTTGAAGACACAATATGATCCTCATTTTGGATGAAAAACAACAATTTATTTTTCACTTGTCTCTTGGTGAGTTACTGGAGTTTTTTCTCAGTTTGACTTCATGTGGACATATTTTTTCTTGAGTGGAAACATGGTTTGGTTGTGTGTTAGTATCATGAGTGAGAAGTGGGAGTTTATTTACTGGATCAGTTTAAAACTATCCAGGATCCTTTTGTCTTCCATATTTATAATATATTTAACAAATCATAGGTCTGACTACAGTGTAGACTGTTAACACAAAGTTTTATTTTGTATCTAAGTTCACATCTCCTGTCAGATTTAATCAGACTACTTTGCTATATATTTCTGCTGCAGGCCTGTTGATTTTGCTGCAGTTTACAGGTCAGTAAATAACCCATGAATATTAAGATAATTGGATTTCTCCATTAAAAAACTGCCTTTATGTTTTTAAGGTCTAGGTAAAACATTGAACATCCTTTGTGGTTTTGTTTTTCTCATATCCAGAATGTGAAAAAATTAAGCTGGTCGGACCTTCGCGTTGCTCTGGCAGAGTGGAGGTCTTCTACCAAGACAGTTGGGGAACTGTCTGTGATGATGAGTGGAGCATTGCCAATGCTGAGGTGGTGTGTCGAGAGCTAAACTGTGGGACAGCTATGGAGGCCAAAAACGATGCTTTCTTTGGACGTGGAAAGGATGAGATCTGGTTGGATGATGTACAGTGTGTTGGGAATGAGTCTTCCATCCTTCAGTGTCAGCACAAACCATTTGGGCAAAATAACTGTGGCCACAGTGAAGATGCAGGAGTGGTCTGTTCAGGTACGTCTAGATAATGTTTGACATATTTTGTTGTACATTACATGTACCCCATGCACAGGGTAAGATATGTATTCATTTATTTATTTTTGTTTATACACACATTTTAAGAACTTTGTCAGTCTAGTATAATATAATATTCTCTTAAGCTAGTGTCGGCAGGTAGAAGCTGAGACTTCTATAAGGATGTGTCAGCTGGAGTCGCAAAGACTGCTTAAACTGTTTTGACTAAAAATTGCTGTCTTGGTCGGTTTGAATAACTCTGGGCAGACCGAATGTTGAGAAAAATCTAAGCAGAGCCTTAGTTATGGTGGGAGCAGTGATCTTCCAAGAGGAATGGCTTCAGGAAAACAAGTTGCAGCACACGTGATTGTCAAGAGAAATTGACAACCAGCTTTTGACAATTGCAGCATAAGGGAGGATTCATTGATGCAGCCCTAACTATACGATTTAGCAAAAAGGAAAGTTTTTAATCTTAAAAGTAGAGATAGTGTCTGTCTCCTGAATCCAAACTGGAACATAACATAACATAACGTAACATAACATAACGTAACATAACATAACGTAACATAACATAACGTAACATAACATAACGTAACGTAACGTAGCGTAACGTAACGTAACGTAACGTAACGTAACGTAACGTAACGTAACGTAACCATATGTTTCGCCCCAAGAATAAAGAACTTAAGAATTTGAGCCAGTACATTAAAATGTAGTCAAATGTAATGGGAATTTCTTTATCTTTCCAGTCAACTTTAGTGACATTTCTTCAAACATTAACCCCATTCTTTTTTAATTAAAAAGGCTGCGAGTATAGAACTCTTGCTTTAAAAGTTTAATGTTGATTACAAACAATTATTTTGTGTATTTAAAGTCAATTAAAAATACCAGTTTTGATGCTGGTCTTAATTAAACAGGTCCTGCCCAAATAAACCTAAAAATTATCAAAATAATATACTAAAAGACTAACTTCCCCTTAGAGAGGTATTCCCCTTAATTGGAACCAAAAACTGGAAAATATCACTTTTCATAACTGAATTCAGTTTTGCTATAAAATTAGCTATAAATGTTCTCCCTTGTCTATAGTCTTAAGGTTATTAGGAAATACATAGAGTGGATTTCATATTTTTTCACAGTGTTATTTGTCATAGACTAACCATTTAGTTTTATATATTTTATAGGACATGTGCGGCTTGTCAATGGAACTCGTTGCAATGGCAGAGTAGAAATTTACCACGAAGCTCAGTGGAAACGAGTTTGCAGTGATTTGGGCAAACAAGCAGCTCATGTTGTGTGCCAAGAAGCTGGTTGTGGCGATCCACCCACTCAGACTGAGACATTGTATTTTGGAGATGCACGTGCCCTGCCTGCAATCAAAACCATCTGCTCTGGAAATGAGACCTCTGTCTCACAGTGCTCACTTCTAAAAGTCAATGAAAGTTGTGAAGATGCTACTGTTGTCTGTGGAAGTAAGTCACACATGTGCTCACAAAACTATCACTAATTTGTTGTAAAAGTGACACTGTTAGAATCTGCCATTTCTGAAAAAACTTGCCCTTAATTTTTTTTTTTTTAAATTAACAGACAGTCAACCCATTCGGCTGGTGAATGGGACTAATCGCTGCTCTGGTAGAGTGGAAATCTACTATAGTTCACAATGGGGAACAGTCTGTGATGACAGATGGGGAATGCAAGAAGCAACTGTCGCATGTCGAGAGATGAACTGTGGGAATGCTCTCTCAGTCAAATATAAGGCTTACTTTGGGAGAGGTCAAGATCAGATTTGGCTGGATAAGATGGAGTGCACTGGTCATGAGATGTTTCTTGCTGACTGCCCTCACAAAGGTTTTGGAGTATATGACTGTAACCACAGTGAATATGCTGGTCTCGTGTGCTCAGGTAACACAGGATGTATTCTGAGTTTCAAACCTGAGTTTTAATGAAAATCCTAAAAACCCAAATTCTGCTTTGCAGAGACAGTCAGATTGATCAATGGAACTGACAGCTGTTCTGGCAGAGTGGAGGTTTTCCATGATGGCCGATGGGGGAAACTTTGTAGTAATAACTGGGGCCTTAAAGAAGCTGCAGTCCTATGTAAGGAGCTCAACTGTGGAGATCCAAAAAATTCCAAGGACATCTTTTACTTTGGTGACAGCTCACTGCAAGGGTTCACAAGTAGATGCTCTGATAATGTGAACTCTATCAGCCAGTGTCAACTGCAAGAACACAGAGGGTCATGTGAAGGTGTTTCTCTTGTATGTTCAGGTAAGAGACAAAAACTATAGATATGCTCCTCTAGTGCTTTCCAAGAATAACAAAGGTCATGTTTGCTCATTAAGAAAAGACTAGCCTATGTGCATTCTTTAGTTTTACCTTGTGATATGGCAATTATTTAATGCATGGTCACAGAGTTATTTCACTATTAAAATTACCAGCATTTAGCAAATACAACTTTAATGTGAGACAGCAGATAAATATTAACCACTTACAATGCTAAATTCTATTTCATTTGACAATGTACTAATATCAGCCAGCAAGGGTAATACAACCCCTTCGCTTTAACTACTTTTATTATCAACAAAAGTGAAAAATTGTGAAGCGGAAGGAGAAAAAAATATGTAAATGTCTACATCAATCAATCTAGGCTTAATTTTAAGCAGACTGATTATAGAATTCTGCAGACCACTTTGAGTGATAAGCATGTTGAAATTAACTCAATCAAAAGTAGCTGATTTTTTTTATGCTAAATAAAACATAAAATAAAGAGCAAAAAAAAAAAAAGGACAGCTTCTGTTTAGACCTCAGCCACACATTAGTCATGAGGTCATATTCACAAACCAGTAGAGTTAGCAGTCAAACATTGTCAACACACTGTTAAATTCTTTTTTTCCTTCATGACTTACTTTGTAGCATTTTTGATGCATAGAAGGGGGAACACAGGAGTCCCCTTTTATATGTGCACATCTATACTAACCACTACCATTAGGTTTAATGAAATTTAGAAGAAAAAGGGGTGAAAAGGCGCCAGATAATAGACATGGCCTTATCCTTTTTAATAAACAAAATATTAAAGTTATTTTAATTTTTCATTCACAAACTTAACATTTGAGAATGGAAAGAAAAAATCTTGATATTAATATTAATGTTGTTTATTTTTTGTTTATGTGTCTTCATCTTTTGCTTCTTTGTTTTCTTTTTCTCCTTGTTTTTGAAACAATGGGGAGCCAATAGAGATGAGCAAGTTTGAGATCCCAGCCGCTACAAAACTATGCTGATATTTGGCTTTATGTCTGTGTCATAAACTGTGTGTGGCAGGCAGGAAGGGAGGACCGAAATGCAGACTCCAGGATGTGAAACGTAAACTCATAAACAGCTTTATTGCTGAAAAAGGAATGCCAACCAAGTCCAGAAATAAACAAAAACAGAGTTTAACCTCCTAGGACCTGGCACCCACATACGTGGACATCAGATTTTGGGTTGTCTAGACCAAAATATTAAATTTTGCTCTACAAGGGCCTGATATCCACTTACGAGGACATTATGCTGCCACTGTTCCATCAAAATTTTAAACAAATATCCTCATCCTCAGCTCTCATTTTTCTTAGGAACAAAAATCGGGTAAAAGAAAAAATCTGGTGATTCTTTGTTTTTACATTCATTGGGTCCCAATATGCCCAAATATCAAAGAGAAATTAAAAATGCATGCCGTGGAAGAGTTCGGGTCTTAGGAGGTTAAAACAAAAAATGCTGAAGTTTAGGAAAACAGAGTCCACAAAATCAAAATCCCAGCAGCAGAAGTCTAAAACAAAACCGAGGAGCTGGGTCAACCATGAATCCAAAGAGGCACTTTCTTTTCAGCTGGCGGTTATCTGGAAGTGCTATATAAATAAATTGCTTGCTTGCTAAAGCCAAAAGAAGTTCTGGAAGCCGCAGGTGGTGCTGCTGCAGGTGACGGCGCTGCAGATGACGCAATGGAAGCCGCAGATGGTGGAGCAGGTGATGGATGTACGGGCTCACCAGAGGCGTCAGCGGACACAAGGAGGTGCTGGATGGGCTCTCCTGAGCCTCCAGCAGGAGCAGGTGTCGACTGAGCAGGTGACTGACTCTGAAGTTGCTTCCTCCGGGAAACAGGAACTAGGTGCTGGGCCTGGCCGAACACCAGCCTTCCCCACCCAAGGAACAGATACGGATGCAGTGACGAACTGGTTTTTTGGCTGCCCTTACCCTGGGAACCGGTGTAGGTGCAGGAGTTAGCTGGACCTCTGCCTCTCCCACCCGAGGAACTGAAACAGGTGCAGGAGTCAGTAGGGTCACAGCTGCTCTCAGCCTTAAAACCGGGATAGGCGCAAGCACAGGCAGGTTGTCCGCCATCACCACCCGAGGAGCTGATATGGGTGCAGGGACCAATGAAGCCTCTGCCAGCCTGGGGACTAAAGCAGGGACCAGCTGGGCCTCAGCCACCCTCACCTGACGAGCTGGTACATGTGCAGGGGAAAGCCGGGCCCGAGCAGCCCTGGGAGCAGATGGCAGAGAAGGCTCACCAGAGCCTCCAGCTGCAATAGAAGACAGAATCTCCCGGGGTCCAGAGTAACCTCAGACGTCCAGCTCAGTCTCCGGATTAGGCCCAGGCAAAGTCACAGTCACTGGCAAAACAAGGTTAATGGTGCCAAACACAGTTTCACAAAATATAGATTTAGGGCTGGTTGTAGAGCAGGGTGATATGACCAAAAATATTTATCATGATATACATTTGAAAATTTGTGATAATGATATAACTGACGATATAATTGACACTGGACAAAATACTTTACAACTCCACAACTTTATTTTGTGCAAAACAACCCCCATCAATGTATTTTCACTTACACAAGGAGATGTTTTTTATGTGCATTAAAGTTATATAAAAATTTAACAGTGCAAATGCAAATTCCTTGCTGACAGTTTAACCAAAAGGCATTTCCAGTGGAAATTGGCCGACATAACCATGTCTAATATCCACAAAACTTAAAAAGACGTTATACACACACAATACAGTAATATTATGTTGCAGCACAGTACGTATCACTCCGCGAGGCTCCTGCCTATGATAGCCGTAATGCTCTGACAATCCATCAAGCTTGTACTGAAACATTTGACAGATTTTCGAGCACCGTGTACCACATAAAATCGTTTCGAGGTCAGTAAACACAACCAGAATTCATACATAAGGCACATGGGATTATAAGGGGCACTGTCAACGATCCGCTTTCGCCCTTCTCATTCTCTGTCGTCGCCATGCTTTTTCCACCATGTGCATATGAAAACAAAGGCACTGCGCATGCGCGTTTTACCCATATTCTATCGCGATATTTCGTTTTCTTATCGTTGCCCAACATTATACCGGTATTACTGTGAACAGTATGATATGGCCCAGCCCTAGCTGGTTGGCCTTAGAAAATCTGCTGTTCTTAAGCTCTCCAGGTTAGAACTAGCAGTCTTGGGAGAAGTTATCTCAGGAAAGCTGAACTTAGTCTTTGAGGTGGCCTGCTCATGGCTATAAGCCTCCTTGGCTACCTTAACCATCGTTGCTACAGGAGGGTCTTTAGAATTACCACTACTGGTGGTAATTTGTACTTTACAGTCTGGTTGTGTGTCAGTCAGTTTTATGCTTGATAGGCACAAGAGTACAGTCATCACCTTAGTGAGCCCTGAGACGCAAACCTCACTGGTTTCCAGGACAGGCACAAAATTACTCTCAGAAACTTCAAGCTTGGAAACACAGGAATCCCTGAAATTACAGTCACTCTCAGAAACACAGTCACAATAACCCTCCAGTGCAGATTTTACAAACTGTCCAGCACTGTTCAACCCATATGAGCTGGAGTCTGTAGGCATGCTGACTTAAAACTAGTGTTCAATGATGAGGCAGTGTTACTCACAGGACGTGGAGGCTCAGAAGAAAAAATTGTCTTTGGCTGAGACTTGGAACGGCGTGAACACCGCTTCCTCCTGGGAACTGTGCACAAGTGGCGGATGAGCTGGATGGTGATGTTGAGGCACAGGTGTTGATGGTGAGATCCTCCCTTTGGAGGGATGGAGGATCAAAACTAGCGGCAAGTGCTATTGCCAGGTTGGCTGGGGCCAGGAATGTACCAGGCTGCAGACCTCTTGCTGGCACTCTTCCTTCTCTCCCTCGTGGGTCGGAATGATCCACCGCCCCCGCAGAAAGATGATTTGGCATGCATACTCCTCAAAACTCCCGAACATTAAGTCTGCTGGGTCCATAGTGTGGTCATGATCTTCTGTCATAAACTGGGTGTGGCAGGCAGGAAGGGAGGACCCAAATGCAGACCCCAGGATAGGGCTGCGCTATATCATACCGTTCACGGTAATACCGGTGTAATGTTGGGCAACGATAGGAAAATGAAATATTGCGATAGAATATGGGTAAAACGCGCATGCGCAGTGGTACTATAGAGTAAACTTAAGACCAACAAAGTGGACTTAAATATAATACAAAATGACAAAAACACAAGAAAAACTCCAAACACTGGGTACATTAAACCAAGACCATGACAGTCTGTGTGATAAAAAAAAAAAGAAAAGAAAAATTAATGTAATTAAAAAACAAAAGTTAGATTTAATGTATAGTAATATAATATAATAATATTTGTTACACTAATATAACAACTGATTTCCAGGTAATGCGAGATTAACCGGTGGATCCACTCATTGTGATGGACGAGTAGAGTATTTCAATAAAGGCCAGTGGGGGACTGTGTGTGCTGAATCCTGGGACATGAATGATGCAGCAGTGGTGTGCAGACAGTTGGACTGTGGGAAGCCTCATAAGCTTATTCAGCTTGGTCCTGGTACAGGAAACATCTGGACTGATCAAATTAATTGCAATGGAGAAGAGTCTACATTGACTCAGTGTCCAATAGAACCATCTCATTGCAACAACACTGTAGTGGCTGGTGTTTTCTGCACAGGTAAGAAAAACATGGAAACGCAAGTCTGAAATTTTTTTTATGCTGTGTAACATATGAATAAAAACAGAATGTAATAATTTGGACATCTCATAAACCCATACTTGATTCACAATAGAACATAAAAATACCAAATCTGAAATTTTCTTGGGAAAACATGGAATCTGCGTCCTCCCAAATAAAGAGGAGAGGGATTTGTTATCAGCATTTAGTTCAATTTCTATTAGAAAACAAACTGCACCCTGTTTAGTTCATTATAGAATGAGCGTCAGTATCAATATGAATGCCTGAATGCATGAATGCCTATGAAACTGGCACATGTGGAAGTAGATCAAAAATGGTGAAATGTGTATATAGGTTTTACAGCAACAGGATCCTCCATTAGAGCAGCAGCCAAGGGAGATGGTCCTATAATGGCATGAATATTGTGATGCACGTATTGCCAATTTTACCTTATAAGAAGTATGGTTGAATCATTCCGGTGATGGACAGGAAACAGCAGAAACTCAGGAGGACATCTCCTAATAACTATTACCAATGCTAGTACCAATCCATGAAAAAAAAATGACAGAAAGTAGTAGAAATGCATGGAGAGCCATAATAAATAATCTAAAGTAAATGCACATGACTTGAAAGAAGGCAAAATGACTTGACGAAAGAGATTTAGATGGCCAAACAGGGGAGGAAGTTAAAGGATGGGGAGCCCGGAAATTTCAGCAGGATTTTATTATCTAAGATGCCTAAAGTGCCCAGAAACTTGCCACAAGGTGCACAAATTGATTTTTGATCTGAGAGGGGAAAGTTTGAGATGGCTTAAGATGAGTGAAAAGCCTGGATTTGGCTAGTAGAATCAGTAAGCAGACACTTGCCAGTCGCAGAGGCTTGTTAAACTAATGGAAAAGGTTGAGGGTTTTAATTATTAGCATTAGGAACGCTGGTTTGAGCGGGGAGTCAAGAAGACCTAAGGGTACATCTTTCACCATCTTACAATGCTATGATTGCAGCCATTCCCCACCTCTCTGTGAATGGCGCTCATGGGCTTTCATCAATGGTCTTTGATCAGCGGTTGTTGATTAATGGTCATGACAATTTGCATACTAATCATCAAGTAACTGACCTCACAACCCATTGTTCTTTCGGTTGGCTAGTTTCAGTCATTGTGCAAATGTACTGTTTATAAGGTTGGGGAAACCTGCAGTCAGCTGAGACTGAAGAAGCCCCTTGAATGAGTGACAAAACGTTTCTCCCACTGAAAATGCCACATCCAGATGAACAGAATCAACCTTTTGGCATTTACTTACCTAGATTATTGAGCATGAATCAAGATGTGAGCATCTAATAGTGTGAACGTGACAAAGACATGGACACGATTGCACGAAGGAGACTGTAAAGGAGAGGTGCAATGAGATTTAAAGTATGCAGCATGAATGCCGACCGGCCTCGAGAAGGCTGGGGAAAAGGTGATCCAACTAGACTAGTGATGTCATGAAGCGCTTGACAGCATGGAAAAGTTGGAGTGATGTGAAGGTTAGATGTAGCTGGCAGCACCTGGGAGCGGAAAGATGTGAGACCATTGGTGTTTCTTATTGAACTTATCAATAAACTTCATTACAACAGCATAGATACTGTTGAATAACTGGCTTGCAATTCAGACAATTCACCAATTGAAAACATTTTAAGCATCACAAAACATGACACAGAAGACTCAGCACGTTTGAGTAGGTAGAACCCTATGTCATCCAAAATTGGAATAACATTCCTATTACAAAAGTCTAGAAACTGGTATCCTCAGTTCCCAGATCTTTACAGACTGTTTTTAAGAGAAGAGGGGATGCACAGAATGGTAAACTTGGTGGAAAACAAACCTTTTCCAACTTTTTTGGAACATTGCCATAAAACTCAAAAGAAGTGAATATTTTCTAAAGTTGTACATGTTCTCAATTTAAATTCAAATAGTATACAATATACCTAAATACATCACAGTTGTTTGTTGGTCATTCTTCCATACCTGTGGCTACATATTTAGTTTATTTGCCTTCACAGGAAGCTTGGCGGTCCGCTTGGTTAACAGTACTGATGAGTGCTCTGGAAGAGTGGAGGTTCGTCATGATGACCAGTGGCACACAGTGTGTGACACGGACTGGACTCTAAGTAAAGCTGGAGCGGTGTGTGAGTCGCTGCAGTGTGGACGTGCCGTGAAAGCTCATGGTGGTGCTGTTTTTGGCCGTGGCAGTGGGTCAGTGGTGGAGGCTAGCAATTCATGTTTCGGCAATGTGACATCTCTTCAGCAATGCTCAGTCGAAGGTTTTACAAGAGCAACCTGCGGGCATGAATATGATGCTGGTGTTCTCTGTGCAGGTAAATCCTTATTATTATGTTCAAAATTCAAACATAATTTTTTACGAGATCACAAACAGTATAAATTATTGCTGTGATGTGATGTCACCAACTGTGGTGGTGGTGGGAGGGTAACTGGTAAACTACACGCTTATTGGTTAATAATTACAAGTTGTTAGCCACTGATCATACTTTGAAACAGATAATGACTGAGATTTATGCACTTTTTTTTCTCTTTGTTCCCAAGGGGTCACCAGAGCAGATGAATCTGTATTTTTGATTTGGTACTGACTTCAAAACAGATACTCTTTCACATTTAACCCTGCCATTTAATCTGTCTTCAAACGGGCACTGGGATTACACTGACTTTCTCTCATTTTCATGGTTTCTGTTTTTTTTTCTTGTTTTTTTTTTTTTTTTTGTGGGTTTATTATTTGGTGGGTTTCTTTCTACATTTTTAGCCTTTTGTGTCTATTAGTTTTTTCAAGTGCGTCCTAGTTTAGTTATTCATATTTGTAGTTCTTAGTTCCTTGTCTAATTTTTTAGACATTTCCCTGTATGTAGTCTGTCTCTTCTCCACTTGTTTCCCTTTCTGTTTGTGTGTCTAGTCTGTCTCTCTCTATTCTGTACTTCCCGTCTTATTTTGTAGTCCCTCATCATGTGTGCTGTTTTCTGTCACTCTTTGTGTCCCCTTCCCTCTGTGTCAATTCAATTGTCTACGATTGTGGTCGATTGAACATATGCATTTATGTTTTTTATTTTGGAATAGGCAGAACTTGCTCTCTTCCTCGCTGACTCTACATCTGTCGTTATGTCACACATTGGCTCACTATTTCTTGTACCAAAACACACCACAAGTTCCACCACTACTAAATATTACATGTTATTGTGCAGCACACAAGACCGACAGTGCACAGTGTGCTTTGAGGTAGCAGCCAAGAAAGATATAGTTTGTCTGTGAGCATCCATGTGTACATGAAGCAGGCATGGAGGAGATCCAGGCCCCAAATATCTAGAGGCCCCCCAGAGCGCGAGAGCCCAAGGAAGACCATTGGAGGGGCAACTGCCCCACCCTCCTGGAAAGAACTGAGGAAAGCCCCAGATGTTGGGTCACCCAGCAGTCCTGGTGCGGAAGCCACGGGGGGAGACCCCATACCTTTCTCCACACGCTCATATGTGGTGCTGCTGCGTGCTGTTCTAAAGTGCATTTAAAACACGGGAGGGCCATGGTGCTTTCTGCCAGAGAGCAGCAGGTGTCAGCACGGCCCCTCACGAGAAGCTATGGAGTTCTTAATAAACTGCTTAATGGAATCTATTTGACAGCTTGTAATTTATATTGTTAATGCTTGAATGTTTTTCCTCAGTTAAATCAACAGTAAATGGACCTGAGCTTTAGCACCAAAATTTCCTGGTTACATTTGGTGTAAGACTGTGTTTTGGGTTAAAATACACCTGTTGCTGAAGTTAACCACATTTTAAAGTTTCTTGGACATACGAACTGTCCAGTATGAGCTATTGTCTGAAAAGGGGGACAGCCATTAACCTCTTTTGGTTGCATTTCAGATAATGATGGACACTCATCAGCATACAGCATGTTGAAGATATCCTTAAAAATCTGATAATACTGGATTTAAAAAA